TTATAATATATATATATATATATATATATATATATATATTATAGAAAATATATTTGCAAAAAAAAATTTGATTAATTATTTTTCTTACTAAAAAAATATTTTTTTATAATTCATACGATTTTTTTGTAATAATTTATATGATTTTTTAAAAATAATTTATATGTTATATGAATTTATATAACAATAGGAGTTAATATAACAATTAGCTCATAGAGACTATTAATTATATAAATAGTTTGCACACAAAAAACAATAAAAATATTATATATATATATATGTTTATATTAATATATTACTTATTTTACTACTCAATCATCTGCTATTGTGTTTTTATATTTAAAAAAACAATTGATTTAACATTAAAAAATTATTTTGTAAAAATTAATTTAATTATTATATATATATATATATATAAAATGCATTGAAAATAATTTATTACAATTAATTACTAATATTTTTGATAAACACACACATTGAAGTATTGTAATTAAATCAGTTTTATATTGTTTTAATATTATATTAATATATTTCAATATATATAATATATTATAATATTGTTTTAAAACTTATAATTAAATTGAAATATTTAATTTTTTTACACACATTAATTGAAACCTTATATTCAAATACCTATTAGCAAATAAAATATAAATAAAATAATTTATATATTTATATTAAAGTGCAATCATTGCTATTTATTATTTAAAAAATTTTTACTTAAAGCATTCATAACGAATAAATATAAAGTTTTTAATTTTTATTATATTTAATCTGTAAAAATGTAAAAAATTTTCAATTAATTTATGCAATTCAAAGTGAAGCTCTAGTTTTTTAAAAATATTAAATACATATATAATACAAACATATATATATACATATTAATTATGAAAATATAATATTATTTATATTAATAATATATGGGTTTTTATAACACACACACACACACACACACACACACACACCCTATTATTTAAAATACTGGTATAGTTTTATAATATATTTAAAATATTATGTATTTTTGTTATTATTATATGTTTTTATAATAATAATAAAATCTGTCAAAATGTTTTCAACAATTTATTCTTTATATATATATGATATTTGCATTTCATTATACAGTATTGTTATACATATATATATATWTATAAATTATTTTAATATTATAATCATGAAGTTTGGCTAATATATAAATTGAGTTAAATATTTTTTTAATGATTAATAATAATAATAATACAAATTTATAATTATCATATAATTGCTCAATGATGCTTTTATTTCAGGGCTCAAGGTTATTTTATTTTATATTATTTAGTTTATATATTTATATATATATATATACAAAATATAGTACCTATATTTAAAATATTATTTTTTTTAAAAAAATAATTAAATTAATAAGTTACAGTTAAATTGTGTATTGTTAAAATTATTTATAAAATTTAAAATAATAGTATCTATATATATATATATATATATATATATGTAATACAAAATAACAATACTAACAATTGATAGCATTGATAGGAGTAATAATTATTTTTGTATAATAATATAATTGAATACAATAGAAATTAATTTTTATTTATTTATTTATTTTATAAGTCATCAATATATATATATATATWTATAATTATAATAATATGTTTTTTTTAAAAGTATATAATGTAATATAATATGTATTACTAAGAAAATATTTTTTATCAATGTTTTAAGTACACGAACTAGATAATTTTTTTAAATAATAAAAATAAATAAATAAATTCATTAAAATAGTTAATTAATTTTTCGTTGCTGTTATTTGATGATTATAATGATGTTTTTTGTTGTTGTTATTGTTGTGATATTTGTTAATAATAATAATAATAGTAATGATGATTGCTATTGAAAAATATTTTTCATATATATATATATATATAATATTTATACATGACTTTCCCTCTCTCATGTAATATAATAATAATAAGTTGTTTTTCTATGGCTTAAAGTGTTTTTAATACACAATTAACTTATGATTATTATTATTATTATTATTATTTTTAATTAATATATAGATTTCATATATTGTAAACTAAACATTATTACTATTATTATTATTATTATCAGTTTATAGTTGAATTGAATTTTATTGAATTGCATTTGTTTTGCAATAGATTTGTTATATTCAATACCTAATAAATTTCAAACGAAAAAAATAACATTTTTCAATGCATTTATATGTCATCTGAAAATTTCAACAAAAAAAATCTTTTACATTAATTCAATTGATTTGATTTGTATTTATTGTTGTGTATTGATTGGCATTAATTGTTTGTGATTTTTATTTATTTATTTTTTATATATATTATCAAAACAAAAATTCACACATGTTTTTTTGAGTTTCTCATTAATAACAAATATTAATTATTATTATTATTATTATTTTCAATGTTTCACTTTTCATTAGACATCATCATTCAATAATAATAATAAAAAAACCAATTGACATGAAATATATTAAAAATTATATGAAACATATATATATACAGTGTATTAGTTTTTTTTCCACTGATAACTATTAAGATTAAAAATTTATAAAAAAAATGATTATTAGTTTACAATCCTATTAATTAACCTATAAAATTGAAATTTATATATTAATAGATATTTAAGCAATAATTTTATTTTATTTGTTAGTTTATTATAGTTGTCAATAATATTACACACACACACACACAAAAAAACCTAAATGTCAAAACAATTTTTGAGGTGATTAAACAAACACACAGTTATAATATTATTATCAATATTATTATTATTATTATTATTATATTAACAGTGTATTTGTTTAACTAAAATTTTGAAATTGAAAAATTACTTTCAACTAATAAACAAACAAAAAACTTTCACACATTTTGTCAAAAAAAACTGAAAATTATAGTCTAAATAACAGTTACAATAAACCTTTCAAAACAAAAAACAATTAACATTATTATTATCATTACTAATAAAAGTTTAAAACAATTTTGTATGTATTTTTATAGTTGACTAAACATTTAGATCTTCAACTAATGTTAAATATATATATATTAATTTTTTTTGGATATTAATGATTACATAAATTATAATTAATAATGAAAAACTAAAATAAAGGTAATTTCAGGTTAACAAAAAATTTTACTTTTATTTAGCAATTTTTTAACAAAAATATAATAATGTATTTAAATTTTTCTGTGTATGTATAAATTGATGATTTATTTTAAATATAATAATAAAATAAATTTATAATAGGATTTTCTTTAATAATAATCATAATAATAATAATCTATTGATTATATATAATGATTATACAATAAAAGGCTTAAATATTAATATTAATAATAAAATTTATTTTATTTTTTAAAAAATGATTTATACTTAAATTATGTATCTAGTACATTGATAACACACACATAAATATACATATAATATATATACATACAAACATATATATATATATACTAGGTACTCTATGAATTTTTAATTTTAATAAATAGTTTTTTTTATTGATTTAAAATATTATTTAATTTATTATAATTATGTATACAATAAATACTAATAAATAAATGGGATATTTGTGTTAATCCTTTCATCGTAAATATAACTAAAAAAAATTTAAACAAAAAATAAAATATTTCATTTATTGAATAAAATTAAATTGAATATTATATTTAATACGGTATTTGTTTTAACTGTGAAAATACATAAATCATAAATTTTTGTTGTATGAGAGGAAAAATTATCTATGATTTCAAATAAATAATATTTGTTTCAATAAACTATTAATATATATATATATAATATAATTCTAGTAATCAAATAAATCAAAATATATATTTATAATTTTCTAAACGAAAAATATTAATTAAAATACATATTTAGTATATACAGTATATATATATATATGATAGATATATATTAAAAGATATTTAATAAATACTTATAATATATATAAATATATATATATAGTATATATATATAATTTACTAACTAAACTAATATGTGTCACACAAATAAAAATACATAAATAGGATTAAATCGATATTTAATACATATATTTTGTGCTTTAATTTCCAGATGAGTGTGCCTTTCATTTAATAGATTATTATTATTATTATTTTGAGGGCAAAGACTACCAGTGCCTCAAATTAGGAGATCGTGTGTGTGTGTGTGTGTGTGTGTGTGTGTGTGTGTGTGTGTGTGTGTGTGTGTGTGTGTGTGTGTGTGTGTGTGTGTGTGTGTGTGTATTGATAGGGCACTGACACATGTATCTTAAAGGGCCTGGATGTATGAATAGTTTATAATTTATATATATATATATATATATATATATATAATATATAGAGTGAGAGAGAGAGAGAGAGAGAGAGAGAGAGAGAGAGAGAGAGAGAGCAGTTTGAAGAGATGATTATTATAGATAACATTACATATCTGTCATAATTTTGTTTCAGATTTTATTTTTTTATGTTGAGGTGATTGGGATGTTGTTGTTGTAATAGGAAGGGATAGTTGTTTTCCTCTCTCTCTCTCTCTCTCTCTCTCTCTCTCTCTCTCTCTCTCTCTCTCACTCACTAAGTGTGTGTGTATTGGGGAAAGGGCTGTGTCTTTGCCAATCAATTCCTGGTTTTTTCTCTTTTGGTTTAGTTTTTTCTGTTATTTTTAGTTATTTTTTTGCTACTCTTTCTTTTCTTTCTTTTTTTTGTTGGTTATTGCCATTAATTTTTTTGGGAGATTATAATAATAATAATTATTATTATTACTAATATTACTACTGTTAGAGTATTATCATTATTGCATTACACATATTTATTTATTTATTTTTTTGATTTTACTATCCATTAATCGATAATTTAGTTTTTTTGATGTTTGATATTTCTAAATACACAAAAAAATATATTATAAAACGTTTTTTTTTTGAAAAAAATATAATCTTAAATAATATTTGATCTCATTTTTTAAATAATTTTTTTCTCTCTTTCTGTTAGCTATACATTGAACTGACACGAGAGGTGAATAAAGGCTGTGAACTACAGTTACTATCGACGGATGTCCTACTAAAACATGAAGACCCGACAAACGATACCGAAAAGAGAGCCGAAAAAGCCACCGACTATTTAAGGTCAGTCCCAAATTAATGGTCTAACCAAATAAAATAATTATATTATATATAAAAAATAAACTAAAAGATAAAAAAATAATACAAATATACATATATATATATATGGCACACACATGTATTCAAATATTCAAGCGCTGCTAATAATACGGTAGTATTACTACTATTACTACTGACCAACCAATTGATAGATACACACAAAAAATCTTATAAATAATTAATTGAAACTATTTTTTGTTTGTTTGTCAATTGCTTATATATATAAAGTCTGTGACAGAAGGGTGCGAACTGGTTTTTGCTTAATATCTCTATAACTAATTGAGCTAGATCAATAAAAATTTTATGAGAAACATGGAATCCTGGGACGTATAACTTAGTATAGTTAGTTTTTATAGATTTAAGCTTATGTAGCTAAGCACCGGTAGGTGCCATATCTCTAAAACTATAATAAATATCTAAATTCTGATAATGTGAATTTATATATATATATATATATATATGTGTGTGTGTGTGTTTTTTAAAAAATTATAAATTTTAAACAAAAAGCAAAAAAATGTAAAATTTGTGATATTTTGATATTTTCTAGGAAAAAAGTGTCAAGGTATTTTGTTATGAAATTAATCTATTATTATTTGTTATTTTATATAATAATTATTCTATTTACAATTTTTAATTATCATGCTTAGTTTTTGAGATATTAAAAAAAACATTTTTACCATTATATAATTTTTTCTTATAAAATTTTATTAATTATATTTGTTACTAAATTTATATAATAGTAAAAATGTTTATCTTTTAATATCTCAAAAACTAAGCATGATAATTAAAAATTGTAAATAGAATAATTATTCCTAATAAAATAACAAATAATAATAGATTAATTTCATAACAAAATACCTTGACACTTTTTTCCTAGAAAATATCAAAATATCACAAATTTTACATTTTTCTCTTTTTGTTTAAAATTTATTAATTTTTTAAAAAATTACTGAAACACGTGTCTAATGAATTTTCACCTAGTTTAAATTCACATTATCAGAATTTAGATATTTATTATAGTTTTAGAGATATGGCACCTACCGGTGCTTAGCTACATAAGCTTAAATCTATAAAAACTAACTATACTAAGTTATACGTCCCAGGATTCCATGTTTCTCATAAAATTTTTATTGATCTAGCTCAATTAGTTATAGAGATATTAAGCAAAAACCAGTTCGCACCCTTCTGTCACAGACTTTATATTTAATATACAAAGTATAGAGAGAGTGAGTAAAGGCACAGTTAGGTATTATTTTTTGCATAGTTATCATTATTACTATTTGATAGTTATAGTAATAATTTAAAATGTGATCCAAACGGATGATCAAAACACAACAACAACAACAATATTAATATTGATTGTCTCGTTATTGTTATTACTATTGTTTTGGTATCAATTGTTATTATACGGTATATGAACCAAACAATTGATGTATATATGGATGTATATATATATATATATATATATATGTGTGTGTGTGTGTGTGTTGTGAAAAATCATTGTTACCAACAAATAATAATAATTATTATTATTGGTTATTATTCAATGAATGAATGAATGACAATAAAAGTCATATACAGTATATATATATAACTCTCATTTATCAATCAGTTTTTAGTTGGCTGCAGCACCGGTAGATTAGTGAAGCACACATAGTTTCAATAATAATAATAATGAGCTGTAAGAGAGTGAGAGCACCCGGCAGATAGTTAGATATTATTGTCTATAGTTTTATTACTTAATAGGCATCATATACTGTATATATAGTAGTATATACCAGAAAAAAAATAAAAAGTATTGACTTATAAATAGATGATTGCCATCAATGGACTTCCTTACAGCTGCCGGTGTTCACCTAATACATCATAAAAATCACATCCCTGAGCTCTCTCTCTCTTTCTAATATTTTGTTACTTGTACTATACTGACAATTTACATGAGGAACTGTATGTATATGTGTGTGTGTGATTGTAAACTGTTGTTTTGGGGATGCAATCAATGGGAACCGTCAGACAGTACTTCATATATACACACACACACGCTTCATACACGCGACCCACCGGACCCATAGCTCATACCTACCTTAATGTACGGTACTTATATAATGTATACAGTATTTGTATGTATGTGTGCCATGAATCACATCTATAGACAGACAATCAACTATTTATTATTATTATTATTTTGTGATGAAAATGATTATTACAATTGCCTATGTATTTACAAAACAATAACCATTAGTGAAACAACAACAACAACACACACAACTACACCAATATCTACCGGTGTGTGTGTGTGTGCTTATGTATATATACTGTATATACAGTATAGATTGATGGTGACTCTGGCACGCGGGTGCCGTTTTACCTGACAAAACTCAACTGTCACTTACGATTACCCCCACTCTCTCTTTCTCTCTTTAGTTTACCGTCTCCTCCATGTCCTCTATCTATCACTTTAATGACAGTTACTGTATGTACAGTATATAGTATATGGCATCACTACTGTAGATATGAATCTCACCATACAATTAATTCATTGCTTTTCATAATAATAACAATAATGACCCCCTCCTCCACCACTCACTCAATACCCACACCCCCATCGACAGCAGCAGCAGCAGTAGCACCACTTGTAATCAAGTGATGCGATTCCCAGGCCATACTGTACTGTTTGAAGGTATAGTCACAGAAAGATAATAATGATAAAGGTGCCCACCTTGTCGTCTATATACTGTATATATATATATATTTGTTTCATTTGAGGACAGTAGACCTCCACAATACACAAAAAATAGTGGGCTAACAGTTATGACCATTATCTAACCACCACCTAAATTGCCCTATACTATTAACTTATTGCATGTTATATTGTATTGTATTATTATTATTTAAAAACATATAATAATGTTTGGATAGTATAGTACAGTACAGTATAGTATATATATTGTGTTATCAATGTTTTCAAATAGCACTATGCATTTGACAACTAGTTTTCTCATACATTCAAATAGTGTAATAGACATTTAATATGTATACTAATAAATATAATTTACTATATTATACAGTATTATTTTTTTTGATGGTATGAAAATGTCTCATTAAAATATTGTATGACTTGTTTTTTACCACCGGATATATATATATATACTGTACTGTATGTATGGTTTAGGATCCCTAAGCTTTTGAGCTCTCCTAGTAATTGACAGCCAGATCCTTGATTATAATGGTGTGATGATTATGACTGTTATGAAAAATAAGTCCTATCTATAACTGTAGGATCGGGAGGTGTGTGGGATGTGATTCATAACTGATTTTTTTTATATATATAAAGTTTCTATAAATACTATAGTATAGAGTATATCCAAAAAAAAATATTTATTTTTTGTTGTTTTTTGTTGTTTGTTTGGATAGAAAAATAATTTTTATCATTTCATAATAAATTATATGCTTATAACAGTATATATGATATTTAAAATTAAAAAATGGTTTTTTTTGAATTGAAATTCATAACACATTTTTTCGCACTTTGAAGTTAATAATAATAATAATAAAAAAATAATGAAATTTTTATTTAATTTTTGCTTTTATTTATTAATAACAAGTTTTTCAAATATGAAAACTCTCTCTCTCTCTCTCTCTCTCTCTCTCTCTCTCTCTCTCTCTCTCTCTCTCTTTCTGGCAATTCATACAATGGCATTGATTTGTTTTGTTTTTTTTGTATAATAAAAAAATATATATTTCTAATAAAATTAATGTATTAGTTATGTGTTTGGATTTCATTAAATATATTTACAGTGAATTATAATAAATATATATTTATTTTTGTCTTACATATTAAAAAAAAAAACTAATATTATTATCTCAATCAATCGTCATCTATTATAAATTACATATTAGTTTATTACTACAAAATACAAATTTTTGCGCAATTAATTAAATATTATAATAAAATAAAATTAGATATATATTTATTAAAAAAAACTTAATAATTTGAATATTTTCAAATAACACCTCCGACTTAATAGTTTTATAATTATATCTACAATATTATTAAATTTATATATTAATCTAAAAATCTTTCATAAAAATCATTTTTTCCTATATATATATATATATAATTTTGACTAAATTTGATGTAAATGTTATATATGGAAATTGAATTTTAAGTAAAATAAAAACAAAACAAAAAAAATATTTGAAAACATAGCACAAAAAAAACATTTATCTTGAAAATAAATTTACAAATACTTATTAATTATGAAATATTTATATCATTAAATGATTAATTAATAATATTTTTTTAAAAAAAATATATTATAACAAATTTTTACATTTGTTACATACATACATATATGTTAACCTTAATTAGTTATTAAAAAATTATTTTTTTAAACATATCATTAAATATTGTTTAAAAATTTATATCATTTAATTTTTTTCATAATTTAATTTCTCTCCATAATATTAATGTTTAATTAATAAATCTGTAATAATTATTATTATTTTATTATTTAAATTGATTGATAATTAAATAATAGTTTTTTTTGATGTAGGAAAGTAATATATAATATTAAAATTGCGTAAAATAATTATATATAGTTTTTATATGTTTTTTATTTGGTTATTATCTCCTTATTTATTTGCTATACTATCTCTCTCTCTCTCTCTCTCTCTCTCTCTCTCTCTCTCTCTCTCTCTCTCTCTCTCTCTCTCTCTCTCTCTCTTAAGTATATGTAAACGATATGACATTTAGAGTCTAGAGAGCGCACACACCTAATAATAATAATCGTTGGGTGCATGTCTGGTAATGCCATAATCATACAGTAATAATATGATGATGTGATGATGTTGTTGTTTCCTAAGTGGTGGATGAGCTGATATACTATCCTATCCTATTAGACACTGTCGGTGCCGCTCATGAGCCCTGGTGTGTTTACCATTGAATAATAATGCAAATAATT